CTGCAATTAAAGAGGAAATTGTTATTTAGAGAACTGACGATGATATTCGTTATTAAATACATTATACGGACAAAGAAGTTTGGTCCGACTTACCGCAAATATCTGATGAAGTATGAACGGACCAGGAGTCCTGAAGTTACCAGAATTCTATTTAAGCTAATGAGATTTCTGATTATAACCAGAACTTTCAAGTTAACAAGATTTTTTGTTATAATCAGAACTTGTGGCTGCTTAAGTTAACTAGAAATCTCGTTAACTTAATTCTGGTAATTTCAACCTCAGAATTTCTGGTTTATTCATATTTCGTCTAGTGAATTCAACCAAACTTCTTTTCTCCCACATAGAGATGAAGCTTTCATATATCTGATACAAGAGGCATAAATGTTTTAAATGTCATGAAGATTTTATAACACCGTCATAATTTTATACAAAAGACGATAATATGAGAGACGTAGCTTCGCTTTCAGGTGTACTCGTTAAATTGTTTCATCGCGGCCGGACGGATGAAATCTGTCGAGTTATAAGTATTTTTAGATCTGTCGAGATACAGAGTGAAAGAGAAAGAGAGACAGAGAAATCCACCCCGTCGTGTCTTTCCACCCTCTCAATGCTTTATGAACTTAATTTGTATCAGTTATCTGTCCGCCATTTCCGCATATTTGAGAGATGTCTCTCTCTCTCTCCTTCTTTCTCTCTTTCTCTCCCGTCTACCCTACCCTCTCGCTCTACTCTCTCTCTCTCTCTCTCTCTCTCTCTCTCTCTCTCTCTCTCTCGAAATACTAATCGCGCAGTGCGATGCGCATTGCAACGGAATTACGTAAACTTAGCAGTTCGCGATAGTTGTCGCGAAGATTTATCGCAAAACAAAGTGTTATTAACTTTAACTAAACTCGGATACAGCGATTATAACTCTCGGGTGCCTTCGACCGAGAGAGATTTATTATTCCGACGAAACGCGCGCCCGTCTCTCGCGGCATCCCTTCCTCCCCTTCCCCCTCCATCCCCCTTTTCTTTTCTCCTTTGACTATGGCTCTCTCACGAGTCAGTTGGTCGATTCGTTCCTCGTTGAGAGATTCAACGGGCAGAATTCGCGATTGCCAGCCGATAAATATTTCTTCATGGCAACGAGCGCTCGCGATTTCTCCCTCTCGTCGAAGGTTTACTTATGACAGGGTACACGATGATACACGAGAAGCTCCTCGAGTCGCGTCGCGCAAAAAGAGGAGAAAAGAAGAAAAGAAGGAAAAGAGAAAAAAAAGAAAAGAAGAGAAGCAACGTGACTCCAAGTCTTTGACTCGTGGCGCGTTACGAGCGTCTTAAGCGACGCTGGCACGAAATTGTGTAAAAATAAGTTCACCGGGGTTAACAATCCGCGGGACTGTATGGCGCTCAGACAACGAGCACGGGCGCTATTACTCTTGTTACGAGCGCCAGTAAAACGACCAGTGCGAGAGAGGGAGAAGGGCAGAAGGGGCAGGAAGAGAGGAAGACAGAGAGAGAGAGAGAGAGAACGAGAGAGGCAAGAAGAAATGCCGGGACGTCGTCGGAGGGGGATAAAAAGCACGCGAATGCACCGCCGCGCATGGCGCCGACGTCGAAAATTTGTCGAAACGACGACGACGACGACGACGACGACGACGGGAGAAGAGGAGAGGAAAGGGGAAGAGAGGAGAGAGCGAGAGAATCGCGAGAGGAAGGCAGACAGCGGCCGTGGTGAAGGCGCGAGAATCGTTGCGGCTTCGCGAAACGCCCGTGAGGGAAGAACGTCAACGCTATTTTAAGCTGTTTACAATGCCGGTCCGACACGCGTGCAGCGTGCAGTTCGGTGCAACTCGTGTTCAACGTGCATGCGGGTCGCCGGAAGTGCGCACGTGTCCACTCGCCGCGTTCAACCCCGCAGTCGAGCGAAGAGCGTGCCTACACGCGCGTTTCCACGATGCACGTGGATCACGTATTCCGAAACGACGTCTTCGCGTCGCGCTCGAGAGAGTTCCATTTGAATAATTTACTAATGGATCGCGAAACGCCGGCCGCCAAACGACCGTCAACGAGCTACCGCACTTTATATTCGTATCCGCCTGATGACACGCTCCTTCTTTCAGATTGCGTGTCTCCCCTCCCGTGTAATTGACCCTTTGTTCGTAACGGCGGTAAAACGATATATATTTTTTTTCAATATACTTTTTTTATTAAAAAAAGAAATATATATATTTCTTCTTTTTTAACATTGCTATTACAAGTGTTTTGTTCCTGCGAATAGAATGACTCGGTCGTGAAGATTCGGTTCTATGAATTTCTTCGTGAATTTCCTAGCAATTAATAGGCCAAAACCGTCCAAGAGCCGACACTCCGCCTGCTTTTGGCGTGCATTTTATCAAGTACGAAGCTACATGGCGTTTTGAGAGGAAATGAATAAATAAATAATAAAAAATTGAAGAATAATTAGTGAATTTTTTCTCTCTTTACGCGCGAGATAATTTCTCGGCCCGTCAAAATTCGCGGTGCACGTTCTCGCCGGTATCTCCACGAACCATTCACACTGTCGTCTTCTGAGCGAGTGACATCCGAAGGGGTATAATTTATGTGCAAATAAATAAGTGAATCTAAATAAATAAAGGAAAAATATCAGTGTAAAAAGGCCGCTCCGCGGATAGCGGAAATATCACATAGCGTGATTCACGTGATGTGTTCGCGACCAACAAAAGGTGTCTTTCTCTCTTTCTTTGTCTCTGTGTGTCTCTCTCTCTCTGTCTTGCGGGTTTCTCTCGCGAAACTGCGCGCTCGTATCTCCGAGGCGTCGCGAGGTGTGCCGCACACCGCGGCGGCTCATGAAATTCAGAATCGATCGTCTGCACCGCCCGAGAGAGCCCTGCCGCCCCTGCCAGGTAATCGGGAAACGTCGCAGTTCTTCAGATAATAAAATCGCGAGGGCGAAAGGTAGATGGGTGCCGTCGTAAAAGCGACCGATAAAAGTATTATGTTCCACGGAATTATAGTGCGCGCGCGCGGCACTGCGCCGAGATTCATGCGTGCCAGCTTCGGAATTTTTAAACTCACCCGTCCGCCCGCCCGCCCGCTCGTGCAGTTTAAGAGAGAATCGCGAGATCTCGTAACGTTCATGGGGTTATGCGACTTTTAGAACTGACGGCGGTGCGCGCAGCGCGCGCGGAAACAGAATGCACATAGGGATAATAAAAGTTACGTTCCGACGATGACAATAAACGGATATTTATGCGAGCACGCCCACGGTACGCCGAGAACGAAATCCATCGCCGGCCGTTCGCGGAAAGAATCGAACGGGAAAATTCTTAAATTATAAATCGCGGAGGCGAGCTGGCAATGTGGAAAACACGGACGAACATCCGGCTGATCTCGGCACGCGCGCGACTCGAAGATCGCGCGAAGAAAAACAGACAGACACCGCGCGTTCCGCGGGTTTTCCCAAGTTATTTTCAAGTTATTTTCAGTTTGTTGATTTTGTGTTGTTAATCCAAAGAGGAAATCTTGCTCTCCTGTTTACATTGTTTAATACTAATAATATACAAACCAATGAACAATAGAAGACAAATTTAACTCGTATTATTCATTAGTTTATATATTTCTTTTTTTTAATAGTAATATATGTATAAACCAATAGACAATAGGAATCAAATTTGGCTTTTATTCTATTTGTGTTCCATATTCCATATTTTTTATGAGTATATTCCATTTTATGTGTATATTCCATATTTTTATGTGCATATTTTTGTAATACTAATATATAAACTAATATATAAACCAGTGGATAATGGAAGACAAATTTGACTCGTAAAGAACCTTATAAATTATTTAATCCTGTTCTCCCGTAGCGAAACTTTGGACTGATGACGCCAGAAGCGAGAAAACGCATGCCCAAAATTCTTGCGTGTTATTTTAAAATAAAAAGATACGTGGAGTACGGAAGGAACACTTAAGGCCGCTTGTAAGCATACTTGCAAAAAGCTGGGGAGAACCATCCTTTTCCCTTGACAGGCAATAAATAGCCGTAAAATTAACATGCCGTGCAACCTACCTCTTTAACCTCTCTTTAACCTACCTCTCCTCATGATTTCGTCACGTTAATTTTACGGCAATTTACTGACTGTCAAGCGAAAAGGTCTTCTGAATATTTTGCGAGCACATTCAAGCAATCCCAGGTGTCTTCTCGTAGAAATATCTCCCTACTCGAGAATAGCATGCGAGGGTTTGTCATTTTTCCAACGTCGCGACATGGGTTGCGGTGAGTAGCCCGGGGCCCTAATTGGCGAATAATAACAATAATAATATCAGTAATAACAATTCACCGGCTTTCTCGATCACCTTGCCCCGCTTGGCCCGATCTCAGCTATCTCAGCGGTCTCGCCGAATTCCCTTCACGTGGCCCGGCATATAATTGCGCCGCGCCCTCCGTATGTAATCCAGCCCGGGGGCTGTTATCGCGGCGTAACACCATAATTTCGATCCTCGCGAATATATATCATTTCGTTGTCCCCGGTGTTACGCGAGGGGGAGAGCGAGCGGAGGGACCCGGGGGCCGACAGCAGCGGCCGCCAAGCAAGTGGAGCACGCGCGCGTGCATTCCGCCGGCTACGACTATGTATAGACTCGCGCGCGCGAGGCGACAGACAGCGTGCGCGCGCTATAACGCTATATGGAGCAGCGACCCACGGTATAACCTTATGGAATATTGAAAATCGATTAGGGTATCAGCCCCCATCAAATAAATATGTCGGCGCGCCCTATCTCTCGTCTGCTCTGCTCTCTCGCGCACCCTCGCGCGCCCGTGGCGGCGCCTTCAGCGGCCGCATTTGCGCCCCGTGCAAACTGCAGAAACGCCGACTTTCTTCCCGAAGGCCCCGCTCCCCTCCCCCCTCTCTCTCTCTCTAACTCACTCTCTCTTCTACATACATACACTTGTACACGCGTGTATGTGAGTGTGTACTACACACGCTCATTCTTATGCGTCGTGTTGCACGGGGATT